TTCGGACCTACAAAAGTAAAGCACAAATTAAGTATTCTTTTGGTTACAGACACTTTTACTTCATCTCGTTCGTATGGTAACAATTCTTACTTCCACATTGTTGACACAAACGACGTGCTGGTGATTTGAATTAGCAGGCAGCCAAGAAATGACAGCTTGGGAACATGTTACCCCACTGGCTCTCACACACGTAGGCCCCATGTTGGCAGTGTCGCGTCCAATCACCATAGTACAAGCGGCATCACGTGATGTACGCCGAGTCACAGTCACCGACCGAACGCTGATACGGTGAGGCTTGAAAAATATTGAAAAATTAGCTTCACATAACATACTAACACTTTACTACATTAATGTTCATTCGATCTCATAATGATAGAATTCATACAACTAAAAGCGATTATAATCGAACTAAATTAATAAGTGCTCTTCGAAAATGGCAATGACAACTAAGGCGACACAAACAGATGGAAAACTAAAATTGGCTTATACAATTTGTAGAAACTCACCCTATTGGAATCTACTCCTTCGACCAAAGCGCGAGTACGCTCGGTGGCTTTGACAGTGGTCTTCAGTACTCCGTCAACGTAGACGTGATAACTCTCAATGTTCGCCTGCTGAACCGCTTCTGGTGCCGTCCAGCCAATGAGCACGGACTTGTTCAACTGCCTCTCCAGGGTCAGCTGCCGTGGCGCAGGCACTAGCGACGAGAAAAACAGCTCGGCTGTTCAGGTCCGAGGGTTGATCGCATAGGAGTGCAGCCAGGCAGGCGAAGTGCGAGTGATATGCGAAGAAGCGTGCAGCGAAGTCCAGTGGAACGGGACAGGACATAGGGAAGGATAAAGATATCTATCGCTACAGTTTCAATGAAAAATGCGAGTTAAATGGTAAATTGAATATTAAAATTGGTCAAGATCATAATCGTTATTGTAAAAAACATATTATCAAAGTGGTCGACGCAAGCTTCATGGAGGTGCATTCAACACGCCCGCACACGCATGCAAAGTTATTTTTTAACAAAAACTAAGTAATATTAAATATCGTGAAACAAAGGTGAATACTAGAATAAAATGAGCGGAAACACATTTCAAATATTACTTATTCATCAAGCTTCTAATTCGTCTAACTATATTAAATGTCTATATTTTACTATTTAATGTAAAATTAGAATTGGTTAGATTTTATCTCTTCTAAAATTCGTGCTGGTTCAAAGATGTATTTGTATTTACCATTATCGTCATCTTCGGGACCTTCACTGATATCGGCGACCTCGCTAAGTCGTGCCACGTCCCGACTTAACGAAAGATCACTGACCGCAGTCGTTGCTGACTCGTCAACGTCTCGTAAAGTCGCAACCACCGCCTGTGAACAAGTCTGCCGTTACCATATAGTTATTTTCCAGAAATTCCTTGGTAATAACTAAACTACAAATATGTTTGCAAAAGCATAAAGGGTTATTTATGAAAAACCAGGAGGACGACTCACAGGCACGCACAACGAGTTGCCAACATAATAGATGGTATATCCCGTTCGAACAATGTTAAATATTTAGGTATCACTGCAGATAAGAAACGTAACTTTAACGAACATATCATTAATATAAGTAAAAAAATAAGAAAACTAACATTTGTTTTCAAGCAACTACATTCTGTTGTGGACAAAGAAACAATTGGGTACATTTACCTAACACTGTAAATCGATGATAGCATACTGTATTTCTTCATGAGGTGGTGCATCAAAAACCTCAATGCTACAATTAGAAAGAGCTCAAACACTGATGTTAAAAATATACAGAGATACGAAGGTACTGACAGTTTGACAACTGTTATTTTTAAATATCATCTTAAAACAACATTCCCTTATAACATTTGATATTGATAATTCGTGATTTAAAACTAGAGGGAAAAACACTTAGCCTGTTCTAGACGTGTTCCTAGGCTATAACTTCTTTCCTTTTTTGAGTGGTTAATTATACAATGATTTCAACAGATTGCTCGAAATATATCCCATGACAAGACATAGTTGTAAGAATAACACATACATACACTTACACACAAGCACACACAAACACAAATATGCACACATCCGCTTGCATACGGTCTCATTCTACATCAAACTTGAGGTGATACTATCTCTGCTTTTCATTGTTTAGCAATCTTTTCTTTAAAAATGACACTGTGTTTATTAATTCGAAAGGTGGAAGCCAGGACTGCCATAAAATGGGGTTTACCTAGTTTGGACTCCTGTCTTCTATATAAATTTACTGTATTTGTATGTTGTACACATGTGTTGCTCAAAATGTAGAAGAAACAATTAAAGATAATTATTATTAAAAAAAGAAAAAATAAATTAAAAAAAGACGTTACATGTTAGATACTAGACGCGCGTTAACATTGTAGCAGATAAGTATTTGTGTTTTTTTTGCAGGAAAGCAAAAGGTAACGAATAACTGTAAGAAAATGGGCAACTTTGGACATGTTGTGGTCCAAATTTTAGTGTGCAAATACGTTCGCGAACTGCGTTTAAAAGTAGTACATTTTAGAGTAGTGTTTTAGTGCTCATATTTTTTTGCGATAGATATCAGACATGAAATAATACGACAATGTTATTATAAATTAGGTTTCTCAAAATGTATCGCGAACCGGATACGGCCCGCGGGCCGGCTGTTGGCCACAGTGGAACTAGCCTAAATTTAGATATAAGGTCTGTCAAACTACGTTTCCAATTGGAAAAATAACAGCTTAATATAAACTTATTAATGGTAGTAAACAGGAGTAAAATTTATAGATCTTTGATTAATATGAGTATGAGTGAATGGTGTTAAAACAAATCCAAATTGAAGTTAGAATGTTTTTAGTTTAGAGAGTGGTATAACTGAAATGGCACCATTGGTTGCCTAGTCCTGCAAGGTTGAAGCTAATGTTATTGGCTAAAACTTATATGAGAAGGTTCCCATCTTAATTGGTAATAGATTCCCTTGTTTGTATAAAACAATCAAAAACTAGAGGCGACGTAAATGAGGGCAATTTTCTTTTTAGGATCTTCTCATTAAAAAAATACTACGTTTATTTACTAATTGTCCGCTTCTGACTTAAGCTTAAAAACAAATATTAGGGGTTAAAGTATGAAATTGCCGTTTTATTGTAATAGGTTCCTTGAATTGACATGAATCTTCATGGTTTTAAGTTTTCGAAAAAAACTTTTTTCACATGGTTTCTATCATGTTCTTAATTTAAAAAATGTGAAACTTTTGAATATCGACTTTCAATTATTTTTGTTATTCAACTTAGACAAGAAAGATGGATACTGCGAAAATTCGAGTGATTTTTGAATACGAGTTCCGACGCGGAAGTAACGTGGCAGAAACAGCCCGCAGTATCAATGTTGCCTTTGGAGAGGGATCTGCTAATTAACTCACCGTGCGATTTTAGTTTTAACGCTTTCGTGATGGAAACTTCGACTTGAAGAACGAGTCACGAGGAAGACCGCCCACACAGATGAATAACGATGAATTAAGAGAGATGGTTGAAGCCGATCCTAGTCAAACTACCCAGGAATTAGTTGGTTATTACCCATGGTTTTAGGTTACCTTACCCACAATAATGATTCATTTGCGTAAAGTCAATGAAATAAAAAATACGAAAAATGCCTCATGATTTGACTGATCTTAAGAAAGAAACGCGTGTTGAAACTATTTTTGACTTGTTGAATCGGTACAGAAATGAAGGAATATTGGATCGAATTGTGACATGTGATGTAAAGTGGATTCTTTATGATAACCGTAAATGAAAAATGCAATGGCTGACCCCAGGTCAAACACCACATCAGTGTCCTAAAGCAAAACTTACCAATAAAAAGATAATGGTAACTGTTTGGTGGTCTCAACATGGTGTTATTCACTATAGTTTTCTCCGATATGGTCAAGCAATAACGGAAGATGTCTATTGTGCCGAACTCCGAACAATATTGGCAAAACTAACAGTTAAACAGCCCCGAATCATGAATCGATCTTCACCTTATTTATTATTGCTTCATGACAACGCGAGACATCATACAACACGAAAAACCGTTTTGAACCCTTAGAAACCATTCGTCATCCTCCGTATTCGCCAGACCTTGCTTCAATGGATTAATATTTTTTTCATGATCGAAATTAAACAATTTTGATTTTCAGTACAAATCGGCAATTTCATACTTTAACCCTTATTATATGTCCGATCTTTAATTTATGAATGTTAATAGTTTAATTTCCAGGTTCTCAATTATGCATGTGATATGTACAGTAAAATGCACGTCAGACAATATAAGACTGCCAAATTTTCCCGCTCGATTTTAAACCTTAATTCATTATGGTACAGGTCAAAATCCATTGCAGAAATTTGACACATTGTGGTAACTAGACGTATAGCCGTGAGTACATAAACCGAAGCCCCAATGTCCAGTAAGCTAGCATTGGAAACTCGCACATGACATAGACATAATAAAAGGTGATAGGAATTGTTAGCCGGTTTCCCGTGACTTGCGATGTCACAAATGATTTAAAAAGATGAAAACAGGATTCCTAATTACTCAAGATATTACAGTCGACAGTGCATCAGTTTAGTACAAAAATGCCCAAAAGAATTCTTCGTATGTTTAGATTTCAGTTATACTTGAACTTAAATACTGTTGAATTGATAAACTCAATATATGTAGTATTTTTCTATTATCTCACTATATTTATTTATGGAAACTTTCTCGTCTAGTAAAGATAAAATATTCATTGAGATGTAAGATACTTACATTATTAGCTTTAATAGTCACAATCCAATAAACGCCATCATATTTACACCATTTAAGAATAAGAGTGATGGGGTCGTGTCATAGTGAAGAAAAATTAAATAATTATAGATTAAGATAGGTCCTGTAGTAGGCATAAAATTAATAACTACAATTTAAAGGAGATTCAATAATTATCTACTATACTCGTATTGTGTTATTAAATATGTTTATATAAAAGACATTTAATTACACAATATAATAGTCAAGAGACAATTATGACGTACCTGATGGAACTCTAATAGATCATCTCCAACTAATCTCTGTACAAAATTAGCTGGCACAAGACCTCTTCTTCCATCTAGTAATTCAGCATCCAGCATTGAAGCATTTGGGTCTAAAGGACCCCACACTAACAGATAGTCACCCGCACATATTGATAGTTCGCCCTCAGCGCTTTCAATACTAAAAGAAAGAGTACTATTAAGTGGGACAAACTTTTTTCGAAACTAAAATCGTTCTTTTGATATGAAACTTACTCTGGTGGGTCATACGAAAAACGTGCTATGTAAACACAGCAACGTCCTTTACCAGGTATATCCAACATATCCACTTGTGGTTCGTTTGATGCCCCTCCATTCATAAAATGTGTGTTCCTAACTGTGAATGCAAAAACATTTCTCGGTTTAAGGTTATAGAAACGTTTTTAATTCATTACAAAGTATAATACTGACCGTCCATATCCATCGTAGTGTTCGGAATCATTCTAGATAAAGCTCTTTGGTTTCGATCATGACTAAAGCCTGTATCCATACCGGTAATTCTATCAGGTGCAAATTGATTGTCTAATCCTAAACTCCAAGAAGGTTGGTGTGGTGTGACAGGTGTGGCCACTCTTCCTACACCACTGGTAGTAGTACCGTATCTACCTATGCCGAGATCAATTTCTTCTAAAGGTTTTAATTTTATATTCATAGCATTGCTACCTAATCCACTTGACAGTAGAGGATTCGTATAAGTCCCAGTACCATAAGGATTTGTTCCAGTCAAACTTGTATTTAATGTTCCGAGTTGAGTCGCACCGGTGATATTGGACAGCGGATTACCCAAAGCTCCAGTTAAGGTTGATTGTATTCCACCAAGCGTACTAGTCAATCCTCCTGATAAGCTTGTTTGTACATTGTTTAGACAACTAGTCAAACCAGTTCCACCGATCGTGCCTGTCATTCCTGCGCCAGTCAATCCACCGCTAAGGTTCATTCCGGGCACATTGCTAGTTATGTTCTGGAGATTGCTCTGCAGTCCTGCTAACGTACTAGAAATTTGACTAATATTGTTCACTAAAGGTGCTGTAACTGGATTAGTAAAGGTGACTTGATGTGTGTTCGGTAAATACGAATTAGTTGAGTATGCTGATACAGGATTGGAATATGATGTGGGGTTGTGCGCACTCATGGAATAGGCGACGGAATTAGAGCTAGGGGCAGTAAATTGTCCAGCCGCATGTAAAGATGACAGAGTAGGCATCGTGTTGCTTTGGCAGATGACGGCATGACCTGAACTACCAGTATATGAGTGAGGTAACGGCGATGGTGTCGGCGAATGGAACTCTCCCACGAGACCTTGGTTGGATCCACTCGACTGCATACCTGTATAAAAAAAAAACTGTAATTATTTACTTTTTTCGATACGTTTGAAAACTGATTTCGATGAATAAGTTTAGTTTGATAACAAAATACATCAAATAATCCTAGCAGTACGAGTGCTTTAATGTTGATTCAACTGTGCGCCTTGATTCACAAAAAAGTAAGCTGTCCCTTGCCTTTTGCCATTGTGTAGTTGATTGGAACTCGATGATGTGTCAGCGTACCATGCGTCGTGGATCTAGTGTGCTCCAGTTCCGCTAAGATGCGGTTGTCTTGCTCGATCTTGGCCATGATGCGTTCTATCTCGGATGCGGGCTGGTTTGGGGGAGACGACCAGGCCGCGCCGGATGACGCTCCGCGGGCTCGCAGTGCCGCTGACAACTCCAACTGGAGTTCTTCACAACGCACCGTCTCCAGAGCAGCCTGAATTATTTGTTTGAATGAGTATACGTTATATGTTTTGCAGATGTGTAACACCAAAAAGAAGTTTAGATTTCTGATATTATATTATAAAACAAAATTCGATACCCGAGTAGGTCAATGTACAAAACTTTGTTTTTTTTTATATTGTGTCGGATCTGGCTCTTCTAATACTTTCGTTATTTCAGATTTCCATAATGCAAGTACTTTAGTTACTTAACTTGGTATCCGAGAAAGGTATGTATGAGAGGTTATTTTATATTAAATAGCTTTAGAGAACTCATAAGTCCTTTAACTTTTTCAAGCATTCACGCTGATTGAATCTTGATATATCTGTTACACTGCACCACATTTGTGGCACGAGTCAAAGCGATGAATACAAGATGTCGTGAGTCTTGTATAAGATTTATTTAAAAGCAATGTTTTCTTAAATAAGTAAAAAAGATATAAGACCTTCTTTTCTAGCTCCCTCGCTCTAGACTGCAATTGCTCAACGTTATGCGTGTCTAATGGTGAGCGTTGTGCCGAGCGTAGTTGAGCGAGCGCGTCGGCGTGCGCTCGCTCGGCATCCGCTCGTGCTCGCTCGGCTTCCCGGAGACGGCGCGTCAGTGCATCCGTGTCCACTGAACTGGACATACCGCCGCCCGCACTGCCGTATCCGCTCATATTCTTTAAAAAAATGTCACATTTAATATTATGCATCCATTAATAGCAATAGGTAGATGGTTGCATCTTTGAAAGTAGAATCTTCTTTCCGACACGATGTTAATTTTATATGACATAATTTTAAGAGCTTGACAGCAAAAATAATTTTCTTTAATAAAATTTGTGTTAACTTTCTACTTTTGGGTGTGTTTTTTTTATAAAATTATTGAAATTTATTCCTTTTTATTGAAAAGATAAATCGTAGTTTTCTTTTGAGTATATTTGTTCATCTTTATGACAATTATACTCTAAATAAAAATATAATTTTAAATTAATTAGAAAGCCCAAATGGAGAGTAAAATTTTTGGATACACACGGGGCCCTTGTAGCTGAAAGCCCCCTATCATTGATAGGGTGGTAGCTAATCTCCTGGTATTATATTTCGTCAGTGTTATTTATTTAAACTTTTTACCTTTATAATAGCTAATAGCGGACTTAATACCAAAAAGTCATTCTGTACCAATCAAACCGGTGAAAATGTACAGTAAAAGGCGGTATCATTAAAAAACTTAATATATTCCAAGCACATTTTGCAACATGTTCAAAGAACATATAAGTAATCCAACTTTACCTAGATAAAACTATCAGCTTATATATAACGGTATAGAATCATTACGTTTTGTAATTGTTAAAAGGAGTGTAGTTTTACGAAACCGAGAAATTTTATGCTTGTATGTATGAATAATTTATCGATTTTATGTTAAAGCTGAGTGAATCGAAGCGCTCGCCCTTCGTGGCGTCGATTGACGTCACTCCGATAAGAACTGATATATTATGCTCTAGTAAGCGAATCTGCCCATCCAATATACATAGGGTGACCAAAGTCCATACCATTTAATATACCACATACACAAACCATACGAATGTTACGAGTATACATGTGAATACGAATGTTATAACTCTGTCTGCGAGTGTATTTTTTTCGTTTACACGCCTAAATTGCTGACCCAATTTTAATGAACACAGAAGGGAACTTGGGAAAAAACATAATACACTTAATTTATGTCAGGAAAAAAACGACTCAAAGGAGTTGAAATATACGATGAAAAACGAAGAGAGATAATTACCGATTTCCTCACGGCTAAGTTGCGGGCGGAAAGCTAATGAGTAATACCTAATTTTGACAAAGGAGCGGAAACACCCATATTTAAGCACAACGGATCTCAAACTTTCTAAGCAATGGAACATATTTGTATTGTAAATATTACACCGAGCCCTAATAAAACACAAAATTAATAAAATGTGTACTTTAACTCCCATCATTTGCAAGCAAGCGTATGCGATATCTATTCGTACGACGTTACAAACGTCGTTTATAGTAATTTATTGAAACAAGACCATATTTATTATGTATATTTTCCTAGCATATGCTATGAGCGGTATATTTACTCATACATAATACTATTTACGAACAACAGCCAAAATTATGCTAAGAAATAACCTAAAATAATGTAATAAACCAACATATTTTTTAACTGTATGCCAAAAAGAGTTCTAAAATTATGCCAAAGTAGGAATAAAAACTAAAGAATAGGTAACTAGGTAGACAGAGGTTTTCCTTAGAGTATTAATTAAATTATAAGCGCTCGACTTAAACAGCGTTTTCTTCAATATGTCCCTTTTGAGATAAGAATTATTTATCACTTTTTTAAAGTTTGAAGTCATACTTTTTAGATATATTAATATTTTTTTCATAATAAGTAACACTAAAAATATTAAATACAACTAATATTAAATACAATATATGCAGTGAAAGTCTTAGAAATGGAGATTTTGTTTATTTGCTCGACATATTTTTTTCAATAATTCTATACTCATATTATAAAGAGGAAAGATTTGATTGCTTGTTTGTTTGCATTAGATAGGCTCCTAAACAATTGGATAATTGGATTTTTAAATGTCTTTCATTTACCTGAAGCTACATAGTACTCAGGGCTATAATTTACGCAGGCGGAATTGCAGGAAAACAGCTAGCTTTTTCCATGTTCAATACATATGATATTACAACTTTAGAATTATATAGAATTTTACATGTCCATTATTTATAATTATTACAAAGATTTAACCACTATTAAAATATCCTAACCACTATTCCCTTTCTGCCCATACATAGGGGAGAGTCGGTTATATTGTACTACATTTTACTTTTACAATTATAACTTGTTTTAATGTTGATTAAAAAATACTTTTTCTCGTATAAAACAAAGTTAAGAATCTAGTCTAACTTTTCCATCAAAATCAGTACCGTACCTATTTGTATAATATTTTTAACATATTTTATTACAGAGGCTTACCTTTGGAACAATTTATCCAACTAGTCCGATTAATTGTACCATAGGTATGATAAATTGTACTACTAATAGTAATGTCACTTGTAATTAATACAGTTGCTAAATTGTTTGCTAAAACAAGGTTTAAATAAAATATAACGCTTCCACTTATATTTTTTTAACTTTAATTTGGAAAAAAAGCTAAAGAAACTAAATCAGTATTTCTTTATATCCAAATTGTGTGATTTACAAACATAAACGCTTCTCAATTAAACTTTTCATGAAATAAAAGTAACTTCTCGTAAAAGAAAAACAAAAATAAAACAATCAAACTTATTATATTTCTATGAGATCAAATTCTTTCTTTAACTACCCTACTTTAGTTCAAACAATTATCGCAAATATCAGGATTCGATGTACAGGTCTCGTGGACCCATCTCTTACAACGAACACACTGAATCCAGTCAAAATTTGGGCCATTTTTGTCGAAGTAGTGACCATCACACAAAGCACAAACATTTTGTTCGTCAACATCATCACTACTAATAGAAGGAGATCTTTTTCTTTTCTGATTTTTCATTATAGTTTTCTTTTCAAGTTGTTTCTTTGGGATTCGTTTGTTACTTTGTTTTCTTTCTATCTTTGGCCCTTTTACTATTTTATCTTTTGTTATCTTATTCTTGATTTTTTCATATTTTTCTGTATTTTGTTTTTGTTTAGCAGTAACTGCTTCCTCTAATTTATTTTTGTATGGACTTGAAGTGATTTCGACTGCCTTCTGTACGGTTTATTATGTTGATTACTATTGGGTATAGGACATAAAGACTGCAATGACTTTCTTATTTCTTTAGTTTTTAAACCCGATGTAGAAGGTTGAGGATTGTCTTCACTTTCTGCTGATTGGACGAGTAATTGGATTGTTGGGAAGTTTTCTTTTCCTTCGATTATATCGTTCCTATCTTTATTTGGCTTGGTAAGGTTCAAGCTGCTTATTTCTTTTTTAGCACTAACATCCTGCGACGTACTTTCATGACTGGTATTTTTGGAACTGTCGGCATCAATATTTTCAGCAGCTGTGAATAAATATTCTGGAAAGATATTCCTGTTTACAGGCCATACACCAGCTGCTTTAAACCCATTAGAAATAGCACCGATCACTGCAGCCCTTCCGTAAGCTTCAGAAAACAAACTTGCTACTTGATACTGAGTAACTTGACGACCAGGATTTGTTCGTAACCATACCAACCATACCAACATAACCAACCATAGCTTGAATGTAGTATGTACTAACTGACTTAAAAAACATCCAGAGGTTGTAGCCGGTGAGTGGTATGCCCTGGTAACTGTAACATTATGATACCACTATCTTTGGCGAGATTTAACGCTTCCAGATTCTTCGAATGTGTAGTATGTCCATCAAGCAGAAGTAAAACTTTTTTTGTTAGTGATGGTTTGACTACACTAATAAAATGTTTAATCCACTCAACAAACAGTGCTGAGTTAATATAGCCTGATTCTGAAATCGTCACAATACTACCAAGGGGTGCGCCGTTTGCTAACTCAGGATTATTCCTCATTCTCTTAAATATTAGCATTGGAGGCACAAATTGTCCAGCGGCACTAGCACAGCAAACAACAGTCGTATTTATACCCCTTTCCCCACTTGTTATTGTGCCAACCTGCTTCTTTCCTTTCAAACCCGCAACTTTTTGTGGTTTCTTTTGGACTGTTGAAAATCCACTTTCATCAACGTTAAATATGTCCGCAGCTGTTAAACTATATTCATCTATTATCTTCTCTAATAAATCATAGAAACCATAAACATTCTGCCTATTAAAACCCTTTACTCTGTTTATGGATGTGCTTTCAGGCTGTCTGACACTCAGTTCTGGGTGACGTCCTTTAAAAGCATAAAACCAATCTTTGCCCGCCATTTGCCTCTTTTCATTAAATGTGTGAGAAATGTTATGTTTTTCCGCTATATTAAATGCAAGTTTCCGTACGTCATTGATAGTCAGTCTAAACATTTGCTTTTCTAATTCTAAAATATGTTGTACTAGAATATTTTCCAATTTCGTGCTGAAAGTAGTGGGTCTACCTTTATGAATCGCTGAATCATTAGCAATCTTATTTTTCTTTCTTGCATGTCGCAAAATGGTCGGTTTTGGAACAGAATATTTTGCCGATATTTTATTGAGACTCATCTCCTTTCTTTCTAAGGCCAATAGGGCTCTTTGTAAATCATCTTCGTTCCATCTATAGTATATTTTTTTTATCACTGTCCATCTGAAAAAAAAACTTAAAGTGGGTCGGGTAAATCGTACCAGTACAACTTAGACGCGTACTAGTGGTACGATTTACCAAACTAGTCGATCTATCAAAATAATATTTTTAACAAAATAACCTCAAAAAATAATCTATTTTTTATTTTACAGAATGAAAGACTTCTTAAAGATTGTTCAAGTAAAATAAAAATGAAAATCATAACGTACCTTTTTTGCAAGAAATATCTTTAGGTTTCAACATCAAAACTTTTTTATCTCTCGAACAAAATTGACTTGCCGGACGCCATTCCAAAATGACAAATAGTTGAGGGCGCTGTCAATGCTTGTTTTTGTGTTGCCAGTAAAGAAAAAATAAAGTGATTAGTAGAAAATCTTGAGGTGGTACAATTTATCCGGTGGTACAATA